ATGCACCTGCACAGCATCTGAATTGCTATGGTTTTGCTTTTCCAATCTTCATCTGTAACAGTAAATGTGAATCCCAGAAATGTCAGCATCTGCAAAGTTATCTGCAAATACAGACTCCTGAAAAGATATAAATTCTTCACTTTCCTCATTATTTGAGTCTCTTATGCCTTTTCCCTTCACTTCTGCTCAAGAGCATGATGGAAGGAGTTTGTGGGAATCCATTGTTAAATTTGTGGGGGCGTGTGCGTGTTAGAACCACTTAAAAAAAAAACACATTACAGTATAACCATGGAGATGCCGAGACAATGTGAAGAGGAGTGCTGAGGAAGGATCTGCTCATGGCAGCCTGATGAGGTTTGCCAGGATGAAGAATGGAATGCAAGCACCATGAGGGTGGTAGCTCAGTCCCAAGTAAGGGATGCCTGGAAGGGACAGTAGTTCAGAAAGACCTGAGAGAAGGCAGGCTAATGTGTTGTTACCAGGTGGTGTCAATCACTCTTTCTGTCTTGGTTCCAGAAGAATACCAGGAAAGAAAAAGTGAGAGAAACACGGTGTCTTTATTTTTCTGGACTATCAAGTAATGACTTCTGTCTCTCCCCCATCTATGACTGGAGATCCCTTTGTTAGCAAAGTGGCAGCACATCCCTGCTACTGCAGATAGCTTTTATCCTGGAATGTGAAGATTTGTCAGCTTCCAGAAAGCTTTATTTGGAGGACCAGTAAATGTTGCCATAACAGGGAGCTACCAAGATAGTTTAATGAAACTTTCACTAACCTGTGACCCTCCAGGTTATAATTCCCAGCTACCATGAATAGCTTGCTGAATAGAATTATAGGAGTTACAATCTAGCTTGGCTGGAGGACACCCCATAGGGGAAGAGTGATGTAATAAACAGGTGAGAAAAGACTTCACATCCTCATTGGGTGGCCTAGGGTACCCCACATGGATTTTGCGTGCAGCCAGGGGGAACCTTGAGCAGAGGTCAATACAAATGTGAGAAATGTGCCACATTACAGCAATGGTGGATAAGCGCCCATTAAGTAATGCCCCAACAAGCAATTTATTCTAAATTTAATGAAAGAGAGAAATAAAGGAAGCTTTTACAGTCTTCTTATAACGGGATAATGTTGTCCCCTTCCTTCTTTTTAATTAAACATAAATGAGGTTAGACATGCATTCCAGTTTTCCTGACTCTTTCAATAGTGTCTTAGGTCAGTGAAATGGCTATACGTATAAAAAATGAATAAAATTTTAATAAAAATGAACCATAGCAAATAAAATACAAATGAAATGTTGGGGAATTGGTAGATAACTACTCTTTCTTGAAGTAGTACATTGGGACAGTTTCTAAGGCCTTTTTAAAAGGTCACAAAGCTGTAACATGGGGAAATTCTGTAACTATTGACAACTGCAACTTTTAAAGATAGCATTAAACAAATAAAACAAACAAATATGTAATGAACATCAAGGAGAGTGGATGTGTGATATCTGATACTAAATACACCTCCATCAGCATACCACCAGTTCATCATACAACCTATTTAGGGCAAGAGGCAGAGCAAGATCTTGAAAAGCTTGACATTGGCCTTCCTCCAAAAAATAGGTATATCAGAAGAAGTGGTATGCCAGGAAAAAAACCTATACTGTATTTAATTTAAAGGAAATTATATTAATTACTGTTAATATGGTTATCTCTTATGCATTTAATATGTCTCCTATTCTGTTGCACTGAAAATGCCCATCTGCCAGCCATTTCTGGAGGAACGCTGAGAATCTGGGCTTATGAGGATCACATGCAGCCTTGACCCTGCAGTCTGTGTACCTCTGCTGTACTTGTATTGTGACACGTATCTATTTTAAACAGCGTTCACAACAGCAATAACAGGGCTTTCTGCTGCAAAGAAAACGATATGTGTGCAGGTGCAAAAGATTGTGGCTGGTGTGCATGGGAATGAAAGAGTCAACCGATATGCAACTTTGATGAAAGAGACATGGACCGTCTGCAGATTATATACAATATCATTTTAAGGCATTGCCTAGAAAGGACACTTTCAAAGACAGGGCCAGGATGTCCTTCAAGACTACATTAATCGAGTTTCCTCCATGTATGTCCCAAATCTGGATTAAACAAAATGCTAAATACTTATTTATTTACATCTTTTGTCTGCCACAGAATATAAGATGGCATATATAGGAATTCCCAAGTTAATGTCCAGACATGAACCAAACTGAACATGCTTGGGACCATCCCATAGACACAGCTGCAATCATGTGTCAGCCCTTCAAGGTAGGATAGGAAACAGACACTGCAAGGATTACAGAGTATAGCTGTAGGGTGTAACAACAGAAATAAAATAACAGAAAGCCTGTAGTTTCCCCTTTTGTCTCCTCTTACACCAAACAGAATCAAGGCAGGATTCTTTAAGTTTCTTTCTCATGTTTTCCCCTTTCCCAGGGCTAGGTTTTTGCTTCGCCTCCTTTAATGGATCTTGCATTCCTTCAACAAGTTATCTCTGCACTCCTCTATATGATGCTGTTGCAAGCCTCAATGTACTGTAGTCTGTTTTGTTTTCCCATACTGAGCTGTTTAAAGTTCATTTGGCCACTTCGAAGAAATATAATAAACTGATAGCATATCCCTGCCCTGATAAAGTCAGGAATATCTTGCCCCTGGAGGTGAGATTGGCCCCCTCACTCCTGGCCTTTCGGAGGGATTTGAAGACCTGGCTCTACCATCTGGGCTGG